ATAACCGACAACGAGCCGGGGAACAGCGCGTTTATAGTGCTGCGTTTGGCCTTTGAAGCTTCGCTGAGAATTGTTTCCTTTCCAATCCAATTTACACCATTCCATGGATGGACACCCTGACCACGCAGCTTATAGCTGCAATGTGCTTTGGGTTTTGTCTTGTTGATTTTTTTTTTTAGCCATTGTGGCTTCTACCAGAAGAAACACAGAAGTCTTTTCTGAGATGCTGGAAAGCAAATGATTGATAGTAGAATTGAGGAGTAAAGGTCTGGAGAGAAGACGATCCTAAACCCTATCTAGCATTGTGGGGGGAGAGAGAGTATACAGATGCTTCCTCAGACACAGCTCTGTAAGAAAGGCAGAGAGCCATTTTCAAACCGTTTAGAAAGATTCGGACTACATGTTATATTAATTCACTCTATTTGGAGGGAGGCTCCTTGCACTCAGTCAGTGAGGAAGACTAACAGCAAGTGATCATTCTGGTTTCTTGATCCACTCACTTAGTTCAAATTTTTTGCACAAGTGCTTTGGCAATCTGGACTTCTACTTGGCCTGGGATATTTGCACAGAGACCTAAATAAATCAGGCTCTAATAAAAGCAGTCAATAGATGGCAGTACTCTAATGAGATGGGAGAGAAGTCATCACACAGCAGGTCCCAGCCATCCCACCCTTCCTCAGATTTCCCTGCCAGATGGGCAAAGCAGGAGGATTTAGTACCCAGCAGAATTTCCCATCTTCTGGTCCCTGTGTTTGATAATATGCAATAAAAATTTCAGGTTTAACCCATCTCACACTTTAAGACGCTTGGATTGGATGCAGAGAGGCTAAATGCCCCTCTCTATTCTCCTAACAGGTAAATGTCAGTCAACAGCAAGGTTTCACTCATCTCCCCTTGGGCATGGAGAAGAGTCCAGCATTTACCCTTGGTAACACTGGTGTCCACAGCTCTTGAGCATTAATCAGCTGCTGCTAATTACCCCTTCTCAATGGAGACAACTCTCGGTCACCACCTAACCAGGCAACATTTTGACTGACATCTCATACTAAGTCAAGCCTTCTGTCTTTCTTTTTCTGTCCTTAATTGACTTTTCTTGAAACACTTGTTAATTAGATCACTTCACTCAAGGGGCAGAATCATGCCAAATAGGAAGGGTTCCAACAAGACCATTTAACTCCAAAGATGTCACCTGCAAACGTGTGTGAGGATAGTCAGTCTCTTCCAAGAGTGTATCAGATATAACAAATTCATTAGGACCAGAATTTCCCTGCTTATATTTAAGTTTTATACTGAAATGCGCCAAATCTACTGTTCCTAGGTGCCGATGCAGCAGTCAGAAAGGTTTCTTCTAGTCCACACGAAGCACTGTGTAGCTGGCAATGTGAAGTGCAGTCATGGTTTTCCAAGACATAGACTAAAAACTGAATAGTGAAGTTGGTGCTCAGAGCAGATTCAGAATCAGGGACCTCAGATGAGCGGTCACTTGGGTTAGAGGCTTGGATTCATTTGACTACGTCAGATCGTACAAAGCTCTGAGAACACACAAGTTAAGTGAGGTGGGTTTACATGGAAAATAATCATTTTACAACATGAGCTAACTAGGACTAGGGAAGAATTTTTCATGTATAAGAAGCTCTATTAAAAATTTGTTTTTGTAGAAGGAATAAGCACAGCTAGTTCACATACTAAGATGTAGAAATCTTAAGGCTTCATTTTCAAGGTTATATTTTAAAACTCAAAACAAATTTTGTGAGTTATTGTTTTCCAAAGGTGCTACAAAACCCATAATGCTCAATTATGTAACTTGCCTGGCAAACGTCTGTATGGGTAGGGAGCACTTCCACCCTAGTTTGCTTTAGATTTCAAATGAAAGCAAGCAACTGGGAGTGCAACACTGCCAAAATAGCTGAATCCAATGGCTCCGGAGCTTACTGGTCCCTTGGAGACTCAGCAGCAGAAGGATGGAGATGTCAGGGAAGAACAATCAGCTGTAAAATATGAAAAGCTTACAACATCAAAACCTGCAGCAGCAGGCTCAAAAGTAATAATCCCATTACCACTAAACTAAAGCACTAATTACTATTCCCAGTGGCTGGAGTGGACTGACTGCTAATGTTCCTCTGGTTAATGAAGGAAGGTGAGGGAGAATATATTTCTTAAGTCAGACATCTGCTGAAATCTGGGCAGCCATAAAAACTATGTATGTAATGAAGCCATTCATATTAATGGCAATAACATTCGGAGGGCTGAGCAGGAACAGAAATGAGATGATAGTGGATTCTAACTCAGAGAAGAAAAATGCTCTGTATTATCCATGTGATGACTGCCTTTATTTAATCCATACTGAGTAACAGAGCCAGCCAAAGCAAGCAACCACATCCCATATAGGCTGTTTCGCTAACGAGCTAACCTGCTTAAAGACAGGAGTAATTTCTCTAAAAACATAAAGCAGGATATATGCCATTCGAAAAGGAATAAATAGCATTTTATTTTCACTGACTACAAGTACTCTGAGAAAAATACTCCCAAATCCTCTGTCTTGCATCTTCCCATTTTGTCTAGGTGGGGATCCAGATTTTCCCGTCATTCTTTGCATTTTTCATCAACAAGTAGTATATTGTTTAAGGTTCAAAGATACTCATTTACTGAGACAGATAGATTGTGATAAATGGAAGGCACAAAGCAAAAGCATGCCTATTCAGTTAGCTTTACTGTGTGTCTGTCTGCCACTCTTAGAGTTTTAGAGCATTTGTAACTGATAATCAATTCAGATAGAGGGCATGTGGCTTGTGGAACAAGGGGGTTAGAGAACAAAAATTAGTTTCCCTCTTGGCATTGAAACAAGATGCACCCCGCTTAGCAAAAAGGTGATACCACAAGGGGAATCAGACCAAAAGATGATCCCTCTGTTTTTTGACCTGTTAGAACAGAGAGCTGTTAGGAGAATAACTTTCATCAACCCCAGAAAAAGAAAACCAAACACGGCCCTACAGCGAACGCTTACAGACATCTCATACACCATTGTTTTTCTGTTCCGTTGTCTTCAGTGTTTGCCACGTACTGTACACACGCCTTCAAAACAGAACACATGTCCTGCCATCTACTCACTGTTTTCATCACTTCTTCTTCATTTAGCAAATAGGGCAGTACCGAAAAACACGCTCTCATATATTCAGCCTGGGTTTGCACATGAACGCTACAGCACATAGCTCCCCAGACAATGTTACGCATTCACAAACTTACAGTTTACAGAACTAAAATAAACTACTTAGCAAACTGCTATTAATGATTCGCTCATCAGTGGAAATGTTCTCAGGTGAACTGGGTGTGCTCAGCTTTTTTTCGGATTGCACCATTGTCTTTCCTTTGCAATTCTGGTTCCGCCTACCCGGGTTTGTTATGAAGCAGCTGAGCCTGTAAAGTAGGTGCGGCCTCCAAAGAAAGCCTATAAACATACACCGAGAAAAGCAGCTCCAAGACCATTCGCCTCTTCTCTGGATAAAAATACCTGTGCGCAGACTTATTATCCACATATATCAGACATTTCCTCTTGAAAATACAACCCCCTGATTGCCTTGGCTATCGCTCATCCTGGGTATATCCACCTCCAGCTGGGTATACTTTATGCTTGTACTTATTTTTAACAAAAATCTCTAAATAGATTTATCTCTTACTGTTACTGGAGGTTACCCCAAATGTTACCCAAAAGACCTCAGTAACTTCAGCTGATTACAAAGTCTCCCGAGGCTCTATTGCATTAACTATAGGTGTGTCCAGGCTGACGATACATCAGAAAAAACCCCAAAAAGCTACTCGGCTGCATGTTTATGGTCCACTTTCAAAAAAATATTCATTTTCATCCCACCATTATGCTTCTGTTTGTCAGCTGAGTGTGCTCCTAACTTAAATAATTACTTGGATTTGATATTATTTGTTAGATAAAAATGACTGTGATCCACTCGAGATGTACGTCTAATATCTGCAGGATGTTAGAGAGATGAGTTATATCAGTGGGGAGGCAGTGACAAATACCACCGTGCACATTCTAACTAAAGAAGAAACAAAGACTTCTAACTCACTCCAGATCTCCAAGGCATGGCAGGGATTATCTTCTGAAGCTATGAGCCAGCGCAAACATCTGATCTTGTGGGAGTGCAGAGCGGGTAGGGAGAGGGAGTCCCATGGTTGGACTCACTACACTTCCTCACACTGCAGTGAAACTGTTGGCAACTTCTCCATCGCCTGCAGCACCACAGAGCGAGGGCTCAGCACCGACACATCCCTCCGTCAGCCCCCAGCTCTGACTTCTTTGGGTCTTCGGCTCCCTTCTGTAAAACGGATACAGTAGTGCCCTTCCCCACGGAGCAAAAAGAGCCTGTTTGATTTTGCTATCACTGTTATTTGTGTTAGTGGTGCTGCTCTGTTCCACTCCCAAATGACTTCCCGTTCTTTACGTACTGCTATCACAACAAAACAGCAATATTAGGAGAGCATCTCAATGCAGAAGGATTGAAGAAATAGGAAACAGTGAATGGCTCCTCTAGGCTCCTGCTGGGAGAGGATACCAGGCTCTGGGGAATCACCCACTTGGCAGTTTTTCTGTTAGTTAATGACATGTTTTTCTACATGAGAATTTCTCTTCTGTAGGAGTACGAGGATGTACTGTACAGTTGAAGCCCAGTAAATACATCTACGAATATACTGCACTGCCCTAGGATTCACAAAGGAACCTCACCAGGAAAGTCTCCCAAGGGAAACAACTTACCCAAACCTGCTTCCGATTCAAATTCCAATCTTGTTGTTTTAGCAAGGAATATTTTACAGTTGCTTGTTGCTAACAGTATCTAACAATGACACATTTACTTAAAAATAAGTAATCGAGTAGTTTCACAAACACCACCTCTACTCTCAGGATGAGCAAGTTCCTCTCCCTTCTGGCAAAACCCCATAATAATCATTAAGCTGCCGTAACAATCATTAAGATGGGGAGAGACACTTACCGTGACCCGGAAGGGCGTCGTGGCAGCAGGCTCCATGGTGGGGTTCTTCTCAGTGACCCCGCTGGGCATGCTGCGCCTCTGCCCACACCTCTCCGGGGGGGACTCTGTGCATGGTACAGAAAAGAAAGGACAATTACAAACACGCGAGCACAGGACCAGTCCAGGAACGTCAGCAGGCCATGCAAAATGCGGCTTCTTCCTCCGAGATGCCCTTGCAAATGAGCCAGTGTATCTGCTCGCATTTCCCACAGCCGCCTAGAACAATGGTCTATCAGCAAGACTTTCACCTTCAACAATTAGCATTTTTTATACAACTGTAAGCTTCAGATAATGCCTGACAGGTTGGCATTATCATTATTTCCAGTCTGCAGATGGGTAAACAGAAAATGTATTGAGCTGAGTGAGAATTATATGCAAAGTACAGATCCGTGCACTCGTGGACTTGATAGTCCTAAGGGAAACTGCTAATGGGGTTACGGGCACAGGATGCTTAAGTTCCCTCTCTAATTCCTCTAGCAATTTGCTTTGTAACTAGGAAAAAAAATATTAAATCCTGCATTTGCTAAAATATAAAATGTGGATAGGAATACTTACCTCCTTCCCTGCTGGTGAGGAAGGGAGGGGGCTGGAAAGGCTAAATTAACAAATATGCCTAACACCGAGAAGATTCAGAAAGGTATTAGGTAAGGTCAGCAACAGCATTATGAGGTGGTGATTCCTCGGTTCACAAACCCTCTTTGAAAGCACCACGAAGCTCATACAAATAGATCTATTTCCAATCTGCCATTCAGTGGTGCTCAGACCTTGTAATAAGCTTCCCTCCTCAAACCGTTTGAGAGTCCTTATTAGCCACGCATCTCCATCACACACCAGGTGACGGCACCTCCATCCTGTTGATTAGGAAGTCTAGAAAATGGACAGGGTCTGTGGTCATGGTCATGTAGGCATTTAGTGATAATTTCAAGAAAAAAACTCAAGTGTCCTGACTACAGCATTCTCAGGAGTGGACACACAACAGGAGGGCAGAAGAACGTTCCTCCTCGCACAGTGCTGCGGCTCTCGGGGAGGCGAGGAGGGTCCCTGCTTACACAGTCTTCCGTATGAATCTACGTGGGTCAGAGACCTGCGAGCGGCTTCGCAGGTAAAGAAAATGTCTTTATCTAGATCTCTACAGCAAGGCAAGAAGGCTAGAAGGAACAGCTCAATCATGATTATGAGCAGAGTTTAAGCCCATGTAAAGTGTCAGGAGTAGAAAACAAAGGCCTGGGCAAACCTCCTCTGAGTGCACCTTCGTTTGCAAACAGCAGTTACTTTGCTGCTCCTCTGAAAAGAAGCACTCGGGATTCTTTGAAGCTGAGGGCTTCTCCTCTGTCCCTGCCCTGCAGTGGCACTGACCACATCCAACGGCTCTACAATTTTCACACACGGCCAGCATTTTGGAGACATGAAGAATTCTTACACTCAAAATCAGCCCCAAACTGTTTAAGAATTCTCAAAATGGGTGCAAAAAGTTAAACAAATTTCAGGTGGTATACAAACACACCGGTAAGGTGTGAGCTGAGGAAAGGATTTTGTCAAAAACTGTGTTCTTTTGTTTGTTTTTTTTTGCTACACACTAATACATATCAAAATATTGTCCTTTGCCATCAAATCATGGTCTTCTGAACACAGAATAGTGCAAGCTTTGGAGAAGGCGAACGAAGCTCTTATTTCTTATTCTCCCAGGCCCCAGAATCTTCTCTACTCTTATTTATCTACACCCACTGGGTTGGACTTCTGTTAACTGAATTTCTCCCTTTCCATAGGCTTCTTTTCCACAAATATTTTCTATCCTTCATGTCACCTTATCAACAAACCCTTCTGATCTATAGAAATCCCTATAACTTCTGAAAGACAGTGTCTGGATATGTAACACTGATTTATTTACTAAACAATATGGAATGCAAGCAAAGACAAGAGCAAATCAACAATTTCAGAACGACACTGAAAAGCAGATTTTTTGCACAGTTGTTCTTCCCTTTTAAAAAATTATAAGCATAAAAATAAATTTTAAAATTGAGCTGAAGTCAACATTGGGGGAACTCCTTCTAAGAGGCAATTTCACAGGCAAGAGGCATGAACATTACATCATTGCAAGGATTCTTGGCTGGGAATGAGAAGTAGTCTGAAGAAGAATACCTGCTACAAAAGGAAATCAGATGGTAGACTGCTAGAGCGCGGCTTCTACAAATTAGTATGCAAAGAAATCTAAAGATGGAACAACCTATACTTCAGAATGTCTCAGACAATGGTGTTCTCATAACTAGTGTAACTTAGAGGTGGTTTGTTTGCCAATTCTCAGCCTCTGCAATCTGCAGTTTGCTGCCATCAGGTCCCGGCAAGGAGGGTTGTCCTCTAAGCAAGGCTCCCCCCTTCCCAAAGGCTGCTCTCACCCGGGGTCTGTAAGAAATAACTAATACCTGCAATTCCACTCAACGATTCCTGAGATGTATCTTAAACCATTCTAAAAGGAGAGTTGTGAGATGCCACCCATGGACTGGGTGAAGTGCCTGTTCAGCGACATCTTCCTTGGTTGCAAATCCGGCCCATAATTCCTCACCAGCGGCCACAGAACCTGTATGAGAGCCAGACAGCCCAAATCAGCCAGCTCATGCTTTCACAGCTCCCAGACGAGCCTTCTAACGACTTGGCCACTTTCTTTGCAGAATACCACACTTTGAATCTCAAGGAGGCAAACGAGTCCTTTGGCGTCATCTCCTTCCACACTAAAGTTCCCCCCACATTCCTTTGAACAGTGACTGCATTATTTTTTTTTTTTGACTGTCATAAAGAAAGTACTTGATTTGAAAGTGAGTTCGAGATGACAAGACAACTGAAGAAGCTGCTTTGCATTTTCTTAACGACCAGAAAAATAAACGTTGTTGAAAGCATTTCTCATATACGTGGCTGGAAAACAGGAACGATGGGATCATGTGAAACACAGCTGCGAGAAATGACTTTCCCCAGAGGTGTGCGGCACAGCACAGAGCTGTGCTCCCCAGCCCCACACATCTCTCGCCTTCCGCACGGAGGGAAAGTACTTGCTGTTCCACAGAGGTCTCACAGCACCACTGACTTGCACCACAGTGGTTCGTCAGACCAAAGCGCGCGATTGTCTCACTTTTGGTAATCTGTCAATCTGCTTCCTCTTCCAACCACACGGGTCAGATCTCTCCGGAGAAAGGGAGAGTGTGTTATGACCCAGGGCTGATTACTATCTGGGTCTGACTGCGCTGAAGTCACAAACTGTACTCTGAAATTCTTACTTCACCGTTAATATATAGCCGAGGCTGAGCCAGCAAACACATCAGTTTGACCCAGACCAAAATACAGAGGTGGGTTAGGACCTCAAGCCTCCTATTATTTTTAAGCTTATGGTTCAAAAGTGTTTGGAGTCAGATCTCCAGTTTAGCTTAGTTTAAGCACTGTGGGGATCACTGGAGAGGGGAGGCTTTGCAGGAGAGGCACATTACAAAACTCTTTATAAGCAACCAGAAATAACTGGAAGGAGGGTTGGGCGTGGGTGCTCGGGGCAAGGCAGGGGGAGCTGTTTGTTTTAAAGGGAAGTAAAAATAGTTTACAGGTAAATTAGTAACTCCTAACTACCAGAAATGCACAGCAGACGGGTTTTACATAGCAAACAGTATAAATACATAAAGGTTTGAACTGCCCTTTTCACTTCTTCAGGGCTGGGGGAGGTGTTGGGCCCGGTTACTGGCATTAGCGCTCTCTGCTGTCGCAAGCCCACGGCCGCACCGCGCCAGCAAGGCACCACTAAAAAGGTCGCTGTAAGGCAACAATAAACGCTCTTTCCATAGTCACTAGAGGCTGAAAAAGATCTGTCTTAATTGACAGCAGAAGATACTTAGGTTAGGCATTGGAAAAAGTCTTCTCTTGACACAGTTATACATTGGAACTGATATACGTTGAAGCCTATCTTAAACCTTCCTGCGGCAGAGCTGTCCCGGCCAGGCGAGGCGCAGGTACAGCGAGCTTCCTTCCCCCTCGCCTGGGGCAGCCAGGTACCAGATGATCTCCTGAACCCCCTTCCAGCATTATTTTCTGTGATTTCTGACAAATTTGCCCACTTGTACATAAGACGAGCAAGCGACCAGAGATCAGACACAGTATCTGACTCCAGCCTTTTCTCCACAACCTCTTCACACGCTGTCCCTCTCTCCCGGCCTTCCACCTCCTGGCTGGACAGACTCCACTGCAGTTCTGTTACGCCTCTCACTAGCAGAGCCCAGCGTCCTACCCTGACCTCTGTCACAGCCTCACAGTGTGACTCTTGGACATCTTAATGCTTTTCATCAGATTCACGATTGATAAAAACCCTGAAAATCGCGTGGGAACACCGCAAGGTTTCATTAATGAATGTCTGCCATCCATTTTGGATCCCGAGATAAAGGATTGCGGAGTGAGGAACAGCATCACTGCAGGCAGCTAACCACAGAATGGCATTTCCAGAAGCACTTAGTATTATCAGATAACATCCTCACTAGACAGTGAATTTCTCTGTTAGCTTAATACTATCTCTCAGCTCATAGATATTCCAGGATTATACCTTCATTCGTCCATTTATTTGCTCCAGATCAGATTTGATCTGAGGACTTAAACACACAGTATCTCAGGACACCATTTGCTCTCCCAAAGTCCTGAACTTGTTATGAACTTAAAACCACTGAATCTTTCTTTTATGACACAAAGGCCTGAAAATCACTGAAGTAACAGTCTATTAAACAAGGATTATAGTGCAGGCATACCGGATCTGAAAACGGATTCCCTGGGTACAGCGAGGAAAGCCACGTTACCAGCAGCAGAGATGCCAGTGCGCAGAAACAGTGCCCACAGAAAGGGATGGCTCTCTGACTGCCCACCATTTCCACCAGCCCGCAGCGCAATGCCCTCATAAAGGATGGGATACGTACAGATGAGCAATAAGCAGTCATCAAATTACTCTTGGACAGCTGAATGGGGCAGGCCTACCTCAGTATATTACCTGTCCCTTTAGAAGCTCTTAAAATTCTCAAAATTAGACTGGAAAAGGTTCATAA